GTCACTAGCAGGACTGGTGCCAGTAATATTGGCATGTTCGTTTTTTCTACATAATAGTGGTTTTGTGTGTGTGTGTGTGTGGAAAAGGGGGGGGGGGTTGCTATGTAGTGCGTGTCTATGTGTGCTGTGTGGATGCACAGGCACCCCAGTTTATATCCATGGCGAATGTGACTGGCAAGACCCGTCTGTAAGTAGGTAAGAAGTTATAGAATAGGTTAATTTTAGAAACCTGGGAGCAATATAAATAGAATGTCTATGCACTAGAACCTACAGAGGCATAAAATAAAGTAAGACCCAAAAAATCACATGGAGAAGGGAGCTGGAGAGTGAAGTTAAAAAGATGGGAAAGACATAGAGAGAGCTGAATGCGATAGCATAGTATGACTGGCCAGAGCTGGTTGACGGCCTATGCTCCACTGAGGTTTAGAAAGGCAGAAAAAAATATTGGAAAAATTTTTTTTTTTTTTTTTTTCAGCAGGAATGATGTTAAAAAAGAAAATATATCGAGACAAAATAGTTCATCTTCATTTGCTGCGGAGAGGGGGGGGGGGGGGGGGGGGGGGTGGGGGGGTGCTGGTGAGAAAATAGCTGTCTTGTGATACAGCCATAACCATAGTTGGTTGCAAAGTAGTTGTTGCATGGATTAGGATTTGATTCACTGATTTTCATTTACAGTTGTAAACAAATATTGAGGCATATATAATAAAAGGCACATTTTCTGGAAAACAATATTTACCCCACATTAAATATCAAATTACAGAATGTTCATGCACTTTTCAATTTTAAAAAAGCTTGTGTCATTCAGTAGATTTTCTAATTTAAAATTTATGTTTCCTTTTCACTGCAGGACATGCAGACGTGCAAGAAAATGTGTAAACTGATAGGCTTGCAGGTAGAGCTACTGTGGAGGGCGAACGAGCCATGGGCCATGCTGATATTCCAAATGCTCTACGAGAAGTAAGACATTTGCAAGAACCAAGTGATGACTTTGAATCTGCAGCCATGGCTAGACTGCACAAACAGCATGCTGAAATAGGTGTGCCCAGACAAGTACACTATGCAAAAAGTTAAAAAAAAAAAAACTAAGAAGAAAAAGCCAAAACAGGATTGGTGTAGTTAGCCGATATACGCTGCGGGATAAACTGAGGAGGGGATCCAAGCACTTATGGAGTTCGTTGGTTCAATGGAGATAATCTGTCGACTAAGTAACTGACAATTACTGCCTTTATTGTACTACTTTTGCGGTGAAGTCGAGGGGGGAGGGAGGGGGGTCTTTGAGCCAGAGGATTTACGACCACACGGCTATAAACGTGAGGATTTTATTTTGCCCCCGACAGAAAAAATCCAAAGCCTTAACGAGGATTCAAACCTGGGTCTCTTGCTTGAGAGCCTGGCGTTATAACCATTTGGCCAGCCGCTCCTCGACTAATTACCTATTAAAAGCAATAGCATTCCACAATTCTTTTTAACATCTGTTTTCTAAGATTATGTATCACGATATAACGAGGCTATTTGTATATTTTCCTAATTTTTTTCCTGTGCTGTCTCCACAATAAAGGATGACTTCAGTCTGCCCACAGGTAGGTAGGTAATTTGTACCCCACCAGGACATCCCACCCGGTGACATAAAGTGCCATCATGCGGATGAAGATCACCCGTAGAAAGGTCCCGGAAAACCCCCTTCAGCCGTTAGGCCATATTTCAGGCCCCCGGCAAAAGCCAGGATGGGGCTTTAAAAAAAAAAAAATGTGCATCGCACAAGGGGATGAATAGATATATTACAATGTGTGCCCTGAGGGGGAATATTACACGCTAAAGATAAGATATTGTCCATGGTGTGTGACTCTTGTACAATTGTCCATAAAGAATGAATGATTTAATTTTTTATTTTACAAAATAAAATGACCACTTCAAAATAAAAGCAAATTATTTGAGAATAATGAAGGTGTTAAAATAAAACTCTTTCCATTCCAAAAGATCAAAGTTGATATCCCATGAGTCAGTGGTGAAATCAACAAATACAATGCCCTGGTTGGAGACAAATGTGTTGTTGAGTGTGTTAGCAAACCCTATCCAAACATAAAAATGTACAAGCAAAATACTAGGTTAACTGATAAATAAAACAGGGAGGGGGAACCCTTGAGGCTGAAGAAACATTGATCAGCACTCATAGAAAGAAGTAGTAAGGTAGAAGGGCACACTGGACAATATAACAATTGAAAGCTATAATTATGAGTCAGGAATTTTATGTTATCTAGTGTGTTCGTCCAGCTTTCTGCTTCTTTCTATGAGCGCCGATCAATACATTGTCTGTTTGTTTATTATATATAAAATGGTAACTGATGAATATGAGTAAATTCAGCAGCATATGATGCATTCTTTGGGCTGAAACAGTTAACCTCAAAGCCAGATAATACCATTTTTACAATAAGGTTGGCTGCAGTGTACCACTGTTGTCTCTTCCAAGGTGTGACTCTCCTACTACTAATTGAAATTCACAAGAATGTGGGGTTTTTTTTTTTTTTAAACCATCCACCATAGGAAATAAACCCTGGTACTTAAGGATCATGAAATTGTTAACAGCATTCACTAAACTGGTTCACAAATGGATGACCATGTACTTTGAGTTAAACAACAAGAATTTGACATGAGCAATTAACTGGAATCATTGACTGGCATTTTCAGAAGCAGACAGTTAAAATGTGGTTTATTTTTTTTTTTTTTAAAAATCCTTTTGTGTACTACACTACCTTTTTTTTTTAAATTTCTATTCAGTTTTGCAATATTTCTCTACTTACAACTTAGCATATAAAAGTGAATAAAAAGCTGAAAGTAAATGGGTGAATAATTTGTCAGTAAATTTAAAGATGAAAGTCTTTGGAAAGTTAAAAACTTATAAGGTTAAATTTGCAAATAAAACTATTCATAGCACAATGTAAAGTTGAAATTTCATGGAATGGAAATTCAGTACAATGAGTGTAAAGCTGAGAATACAATGGAATTTAACTAATGCAGGTAAAGATGAATTTCGTTTAAAAAAAATTTTTTTTTTAATGAAAAATCCTGGTGCATTTAAATATCATATCTTCCAACAGGGAAGTCACTGTGGCGATGGAATTAGACGCCCGCCTGCGGATCACAAGGTAGGGGTTTGGGTCCAGACGGAGCCAGGTTTTTTTTTTTTCAATAATAACCTTGACACCCAGGTCAACCTAGCTTTGAGTGGGTACCAGATGTGTTCCTGGGAAGTAAAGGTGGCCAGCCTGATGCAGACCACATCACCCACCAAGCGCAGATTGGTCTATAAAAATATAGGTCTAGACCTAAATACCCTGTACGCCTAAAGGCGTGGAAAAAGGGCCCCTTACTTACTTTTATATCTTTCAAAATGGTTTCAGCTGTCATGGCATACTTTGCATTTTACATCGTAGAATTCCGCTTCCCCGTGTGGGTTAAAGGTCCCCATTGTGGGGAAAAACATGAACAGACCCACTACCTCCCCTACAAGTGTATCGCAGGTGTCAACTAACTGTAGGCATCCTTTGAAATCAGAGTACTTAATTCACACACCATGTGACCAATCCGGTAATTATAATGGAACAGTTGAACTGTTACTTTAACCTATTATGTTCCATAGCCATTATTCTTTAACTGCTGGGACTCTATATTAGTTTAAGTCAGCCTAAAACAGAATCAGATAAAGTCTGTTTTGTACTAAAGAAGTTAAAAATAACACAACTAAAAACTAAACTAAACAGAGTAAATCTTCCTGAGAGGCAAGGAGCCAAGAATCTGCACACCAGTTAGCAGATGTGTGAAACAGATGTGCATGCAACAGTCAGGTTCTGGAACAAGGCTAAAGTCCAGAGGTGGACAAACACCCATAACTTTCCCCTGGTGTTGACAGACAGTAAACGTAAAGAAGAAGATGACGACACTGTAACATTTTCCCTGATTTACTTTGCTTGTATATTTTGCTATTTATCTCAGGAGTGAGGTTTGCATGTAACAGCCACAGCCAATGCTCACAGTTTTCACTGCTAAAAAAAAATTATGTTACTTATTATTATTACTGATAACAAATGTGCTACTTAGTTTAAGGCTCAAACATGGCCAACAAGGAGGAAAATGTCATGTGCTATAGATACATGTCAACACATACATAAGATCATTGATTATGCCTCACCAATAAAGGTTGCTAAGGGTACTAATTCATCTGGATTTTCTTTTTATTTCAAACTAATTCCCTTTTACTGTCATATATTGTTACTATATCATTGAACTGGACGGTCTGGTGCTGATCGCATCGCCCACCAATTGCCGAGTGGGCTATGAAAATATAGGGCTAGACCTATATTCCCAAGTTGCCTAAAGGAGAAGGAACCTCTTTATAATCATCGAATAATATGAATTTGTAAATATTGATTTTATTTATTTTAATTTTGTTTTAATTTACTTATTTTAATTTAACATTCATTGTTGTATTATTTTATTGCTTTAACAAATTTATCTTTATTGCTTTACTAATTTATACTTCAATGGTTTCTATTACTTCTTTGCTTTACAAAATTCAATATTCAATGTTTTACAAAAAATTTGCTTTTATTTAACAATTTCATCATTTTATATAACATTATTGCTTTGCCTAATGTACTGTTTAATGTACTGTTATTTATGCTTATGGCAAATGAATCATTTTTATTATATTACTTTATTGTTTAAACATTTATAATTTATTGTTCTTTTACCTGCTTGTTTGAATTTTTTTTTAATCCACCATGCAAAGTTTATTATTTTACAGGCACAAATCCTGTTAGATTCATATCAAACAATCAAATTATTTTATTCTGTCATTTTCAAGTTTTCATGCAGTTCTCACCAATACACAGGATAAATTCAAACAACTAAAAAAAAAAAATTAAAAGTCTATTTCAAAAGTCATTACATTTTATAACTTGACCTCATCTTTCCCCTCATTGTACGGAGATGGTCAACAGTTGCTAAACTTTACTTTCTGGAGCATTCTCAAGATTCCCCAAGTTTATGTTCTCATTAGACTCAGCTATTTCTTCTCGACTGGATATCTGACTAATACTGCCCATCTGGAACCTCTCCTTCGCAGCAGCTCTGCGGAATTCAGCACTGTCTCTTCTGTCACTTTCTCTGACCACCCCATTTGTGTACTCCCTGCGGAGTTTTTCTTTCAGGAGACTTCTAGTTGCCTCATCATCGCCTTCATTGTCGTCATCTATCTGTAGATTCAAATCTTTGTCATTCTCTTTGATTCCAAATACCCCAGTACTTTGTCTGCCATCATCTTTCCCTGTGAGTTTCTTCAGACTGTTCATTTCAAATGGATTTGATGAGAAAAACCAGTCGTATGTTAGAGAACCTAGAACTGCACCTGCCATTGGTCCTGCCCAGTAGATCTGCAAATAATTTTAAATAAAAACAATTGAAAAAAATAAAAAAAATAAAAATAAGTAAGTAACAATGCGTGTGTGTGTGTGTATGTATGTGTGTGTGTGTGTATATATATATATATATATATATATATATATATATATATATATATATATATATATATATATATATATATATATATATATATATATATATATATATATATATTTATTTATTTATATATATAAATTCTGCACATATAATTGTGAGTATGAGCAGAGCTTTTTATTTCCTTAAAAAAGGTGCCAGTACTCATCACACCTGAAGGGAAAAGTAAACGAGGAAGACCAAGAGAGACTCTGCGTAGAACCATCATCAGGGAAGGCTCAACCATGGGCCTAACAAACATCCAAGACTTAAAGCAGGTTGCAATGAACTGCCAGACATGGAGAGCTATGACCTCTGCCCTATGCTCAAGAGGAAAGACAAACTAACTAACTCACCACAAAGTATTTTAAAAATAGTTGCTGGTTTCACCATATAGTATCTATTACAACAGCACTGAACAAAAGAATGATGGGTAGAAAAAGTTGCCAGTATTTCGTACCACCAGAGAAAAACCCTGAGCATAAATAATATAAAAATGGTTCACAAAGATTACCAAGGTCCCATTTTAAAGGTCTTTTCTTCTTTTGTCGTCTCCCTTACACCAGGTTGTAGCCCAGTGTCGCAGTTTTCTGTATTTTTCCTGCACTTCTCGGGTAGCTGGGTGATGGATTTGTTCATCGTTTTACAGGTTTCATCAACACCATTTATCCCTGTCTTTCTTGGTTTTCCTCTCACCTTCCTCCCAGATTTTCTTCTGTAAAAAGTCTCATATGCAGTTTGGTCTGGGTGCATTCTCACTAGATGGGCGAACCACTTCATTCTTTGTCTGTCGATATAATCCAAATGTGCTCTTATCCCAACATTCTTTCAAATTTTGGTATTCGTAACCCTGTCTCTTTTTGTGTTAGTGACCTTGTGGAGACAGCACATTTCCCATGTAGTTATTTTCTGTCCTAGTATCCTATTCATTGTCCATGTTTGGCACTGATAAGATAAAGTAGGCATAAAGATGCTTTTGATCATTTGCTGTTTTGCTGGAAGGGAGACATTATGGTGTCTACGCAGTGAGGGTAAGTTGTATTCTGGCTTCGATCTCTCAATCAAGTCTGCCATCCTCCATAAAATTTGTGAACCCACACTCTTCTAACAAGTATATTGTAAAAAGTGGCTAATAAAAATCATGAAATCTATATCTTAATTGTATCTAATTTCGTCCTTTTTAGGACAAAATTTTTTGTCATTTGAAGCCCTACTCTGGCGTTTGCCAGGGGCCACAATATAGGCAGGCCATATATATGGCCAAATGTCTGAACGCGGTTTCTGGGACCTCTCCACGGCGATCCTCATCCACATGGTGGCACTTTGTGTCATTGGGTGTTTATCGCTTGTGTGATGTCCTGGTGGGGTAGAAATTCAGTTCAGTTCATGAAATCTATTCACCAGCTCTACCCCGACCCGACTTAACATTACTTTGTAAGCACCAGGGGCCCTAATGGGTACCAGGTAAAGTCCTGGGAAGTAAAGACACCTGGCTTGATGATAACTTTATCACACATTAGGTGCCGATTGGTTTGACAAATATAGGTCTAGTCTAATGTGCCCAATAAGCCTGAATGTGATGGAAGAGTCCTAAAGGTTTATTCATGGAATCTGATGTGTTGGATGGAAAGGGGACAATATCACAGTATAGCTGTAAACTATGACACCACTTAATGACCTCCCTTTGAAGGCTAAACACAGCAACAACAACAACAAAAGAAAAAAGTTTCAGTAAAATAAAATAGGTAAAGATCTATGGGATGATTGGATAAAATGTGTTAACCTCATATTGGATAGGCCAATCAAAATTTAATATGGTAAGTGGTCAACATAATACATTATTTTCGAGAATATTTCCTGTTAATTGGACAGTTTTGCCAGCAACGAAAGGCCACATATATATACTAGGGATGTGCATGCCCTGGAAGAGGTCTGAAGTACAGAAGTGGACAAACAAAGAGAATGAAGTACAAAAGTGGACAAACAAAGAGAATGAAGTACAAAAGTGGACAAATAGAATGAAGTACAGAAGTGGTCAAACAAAGAGAATCTAGTGTGTCCTGCAGTCCTAGGCAGGCAAGAAAAATCATAAATTGTCTCCCCTTCTACCTGAACTGTGAGTGAAGTAAGTAAGTAATTTATACCCCACCAGGACATCACACCAGCGATAAACACACAGTGACTCAAAGTACTACCATACGGATGAGGATCACCTATGGAGAGGTGCCGGAACCCCGTTCAGCCGTTAGGCCATATTTCAGGCCCATCTATATTTAGGGCCCACTGCAAAAGCCAGGGTGGGGCTTCAAAATAGCATCCCACAAGGGGATGAGGAGATTATTAACTGTGAGTGAATGCCATAAGTAAAGTAAAGGATACTTAATGTTAGTGCCCAATATGAGACAAAATTATTTATTGTTTTATAGCTCCATCCCGGCTGTAACTGAGGGCACTAATATAACCGAACGGTTGAGCAGGGTTTCTGGGACCTGCACCCAGCTGATTTTCATCCGAAAGGTGGCAGTTTGTATCAGCTGGTGTTGTATCGCTCGTTGTGCGGTCCTGGTGCGGTTGAGCATCACTCACACACTTTTCCACGCTTTCAGCTGTATTGTGTGTGTAGTGTTTAACCGATATTTTATACACAAATCAGCACTAGGTAGGTGATACTGACAATATCAGGCCAACTTTACTTCCCAAAACTTTACCTAGTACCCATTTAAGGTCAGGGTCAATCTTAGAGCCAAGGTCATTTTTGAAAAATCAAATCCAGCTTAGTTTGGATTTGAGCCCACAACCTTCAGACCCACAGGTGAGGATTTGTGGCTACACCATTGGGACTTGCAGTAAATAATATACATTTCATAATATCTTCGGATTAAAACTGTGTGTAAACAATTTCATTCTTCTTCTTCTTTTTCCTTTATTTGCATGAAATAGATTATCTAAATGTCTGCAATGTTGTCTCTTGTATGAACTTCACAGTCTGTGGTAATTCTGTAAAGTTTGGCTTGTACCAGTATTTGTCTTGGCCACAAAGTTTGCCTTGATATGTTGTATTTGAGACAGTTTCGGAGGATGTGATCTGTTGCATCAGATGGTGATCCATTTCTTTACATAGCTGATTCATCAATATTATATTTTGTAAAAGTGTAGCTGTGACGTCCATTGTGTCCTATTCTGAGGCATTGCATAATGACATTCTCTTATAGGGTAATTTTCTTTTGACAGTTTTGGTGGCTTTCTTCTTCTTCTTCTTCATCTTCACGTTCACCAGCTGTAAACTCTGGCGGAAGGTTCTGGTTGCTCGTCCACTACTGAACTGCAGTCCTGCTCCAGAACCTGAGTGTTGCGTGTGCATCAGTTTTACAGATCTCATTCTCTTGAATACAGACTGTTGGTGATTGATTTGATTATTCTCTTCTTCTGTTGATAAGAGACTGGTATATCAAAAATTTCATTCTAAAGTTGACCCAATTCTTACCCAGTTCTTCTCAAAATCACCCAAAATCATGGCCGGCCCAAAGCTTCTAGCTGGGTTCATGCAGGCGCCTGAGATATTGGCCTGTTTAGAAAAGAGTTAATTTATGGGTTAAGCAAAATGATTATTCTAAGCAATAAACAAATTATTAGGGTTAGGCAATGTTAACAATGGTTTTATTTTTTTCCAGATGTATACAATTGTTTGCCTATCGCTATTTCGATGCATGGATTGATCATAACTTGCTAACCCAAACATATCAATACACACAGACACACCTAAACATAGGCAAGCACCCATACATGCTTACACATCCATTTATACACAGTACCCATATATACATAAATTTCCCTACACACACACACGCAACTACCCCTAGATACACAACGCACATACATCCATGGACGCCTACATATAAACATGCTCATATCTACCTATTCATACACAAACACATACGCACCCTCATACATATAGAAGCACACATACACACTTACACATATATACCACACATACACTCATAGGTACTAATCATAACACTTATCTCATATGTACCTATTCACACACAAACACACACTCATACATACATAATCGCACAAACACTCTTAAACATATATATCACACATACACTTATATAGATATTTATCCCACATACAGTTGTATGTACTTATCAGACAGACAGACAGACAAGCAGACAGGCAGACAGACAGACAAGCAGACAGGCAGATAGACAGACAAGCAGACAGGCCGACAGACTATAAGAATGTGGTTTGCCTGACACACAACACTAGATTACTCACACCAAACAGGATGTTGACTGTCACTGTGAGACCCACCATGAGTGGAACCGACCCCGCCAGATCATCACGACCAGGATCTACCTGTAGGAAACAATCAATAAAACACAAATTACGTGCATGTCCACATCACAACATCACAACATCCCAACATCCCATGCACGTCTCAACATTCATTGTTCTTTGCTATTTTTTTAACTAGGCATTGTATGTAGACTACCCATTGCGGGTAGTTAGCGTCCTTTGTACGTTTTCTCAAGACTATGCCAGTGTACTAGGAAATGAACATAGAGATGTACTGGCTGGTTCTGCGCGACACAGTGGTGAATTGTTGCATGACAAGCTAGATTTTGTAAGGTTCACTTGTGGGGAGAGGAAGGAGTGAACAGTGCATAGGCACAGATTGATCATTACCGTCTGAGGGAAAATGGTGGTGCGACGAATGACTATGGGATCTGGCCGACGATTCAACACTCAGGGAGTAGGTGAGACGGATTTACAATCAGACTGTTAGTGGTACTATTGGAATTGTAACTCTGAGACTGATGCTGAGGATAGGGACGGGGCGCTTAACTGGAATGGCCCGAGTGATGTGATGTCGATTCTTATTTAAACACCTAACAGTAACTTACAATAGTTTGCTATCTGATCAGTTGGTCGGGTCATCTCGTTTGAATACAGCCCGGGCAACTACCAGTAACAGGTGCTACACGTGAAAAGATTGCATATGAAAGCAAGTGGTGGCCCACGGAGAAGATGGACTGACGGCGCTAAAGAGCTATATCCACATGGAATGACAACAATCATTGCTTCTCATCAAGCAATGGATCGCAATGGATTCTAGCCTCCAATTACAAAATGTTTTAGAGAAAGCTTCGAATGCAAAAACCTTTTTTAAATATGTAATATTAATAATAATTTGCTGGGATGCAAAAAATATATATATAAATGTAATTTTAATATAACGAAATGTATTTTTTAAAACAAAGTTAGTTGCCCGCATCTGGGGTGGAACCAGGCACCTTGAAATTACTAAGCGCGTTCGCCTAAGCCACAGGCGCCGACCAAATATATAAACACCTACTTAATAACAACAAATTTAGTTGGTGGTTAGGACTGATATTTTCCTTATTAGATTAGTTACGTATCCTTTACAGGACGTTGCAGAACCAACCCCAACAGTCCCTGGCTGTTGTGTGGTTTTTCCAGGCAAATTTACGTCCAGTAGTTTGCCATTGCTTCCTGGACGGTCGGCTTTTTTTTTATACCACTGTCGAAACCAACGCAATGCGCATGGTCCGCAGCTGGGATCGAACCCGGCATCTCGGCATTACAAAGCGTTCGCACAGACTTAGCCACAGAGTCGACTATTTTCCTTATACATTTCATAAATTATTGCAGCTCCAGGTTTCAGCCCTATGTCCATCAGACTGGACAGGCATAGGGAATCATGGTCGTTGCTGTATTCGTCTTCGGGCTGCAAATGGCATTAATAAAGTCGCTTCTGTCCAGTACAGGACCAGCCATAGCAACCGCAGAGTCTGCAAAATAATATTCACGTTCGTTGCCTCGAACAACCGCAGAGCCCGGCAAAAAGATGAAGGTTAGGCCAGCCATTCGCGAAGTGTTAAGTGACCCAATCCTTTATGGTCTGATGAATCTGAATTTTCTTAAGCGTATTCACTGGTTCCCTAAGTATACATGTGTGTGTGAACTCTAAAGTACCAAACCATTTGGATGATATTCACCCGGGCACAAGTCACAGAAACCCCGTTCAACAGCTAGGTTATAATAGGGCCCCCGACTGCAGCCGGGGTGGGGCTTCAAAATACAACAACAACAAAGTTGCGTTCTATGCTGGAAGGAGGTCAAATTGTAATCTTCTATACTCACACATAAAAGTAAAATGTCTCGTTTTCACGCTTTTAGGCGTATAAAGCATATAAGACTAGACCTTTATTTTTTGGACATCAGCACAAGATGGATGATGTGATCAGTATCACGCCAGCCGCCTTTACTTTCCGGGACTGCACACGGTACCCACTCAAGGCTGGGCAAACCTGGGAGTCAAGGTCGTTTTTGAAAAAAAGTTCCCCGATCCGCACTCAAACTTCTATCCGCTAGGCCACGGTGATTCCCATACTCACACATGTATGAGCATATCTGCAGTGTGAGTGAGTATCTTTGCTCCTGTGATCAGATAGCATGTGTGAGTATGAGAAAGCACTGATGTATTATGTATGTATGTTGTAATCTTATTGGAAGTAAGGGGGTAATCCAAGGTGTACAACAATGTCTGTCTGTCTGTCTGTCTGTCTGTCTGTCTGTCTGTCTGTCTGTCTGTCTGTCTGTCTGTCTGTCTGTCTGTCTGTCTGTCTGTCTGTCTGTCTGTCTGTCTGTCTGTCTGCCTGTATCTATAAGTGTCCCTGTTATGATAGAACGAGTTACCTTTTCCAGAAAGAAAAAAAACTATGCCACATGACAGACGTTCTGCCACAAACTGCACGAATGGTTTCCCCTCACGTGGCACTGACCCACTTTTACTGTTTCGTAATAGATGGTTCCATTATGTGTTATTATTTGTTTGACATTGGAAACAAAAATTACCCGGCGTCAGAGTTTTTTAGGGAAACAATCTGGCAAAAATGTCACGAGATTTGTGGCGTTATTCCTGATTCCGTCAGTCGCGCTGGATGTTTCTGAATGTCGAGTTACTTAACCCACATCAAGAACTAAGTACCCTCATACGAATAATGAAAGTAACATTTTCTTGGCATTTTATGAGAATGTGGGGTGGGGGGGGGGGGGGTGGTTGGAGGTTTAAACAACGGATCAGCATCATGGCACACAGGTAGTACCCATAAGTGCTCCGTTTTTCTTCTAACTCAAGTCTCAGCACAAAGAAGCTCAGCACAGTGTACAGGCTCTGTGGCACCGGCAAAGATCCTGAAATACTTCGGGTAGATTTTAAAGTCCAAATATTTCCCTGGCATCGCCGTTAGGCTACTCTTTTCGATTTCCAGCTGCCAAGGGAATTTGTACGTGCCCAACAATGCACACGGGCGTCCGATCTCACTACCTAGAGACTAGGGGGAATTACTAAAGGTCCAAGTTCACGTGAAAAAATCATAGTCCTTACCTGGGATTGAACCTGGAACCTCTAGCACTCGAGGCGGACACTATGCCTGGAGACCACACAGCCCCCCTCACCCCCTCCTCTCATTCTCTCTCTAGAATTGGGGGGGGGGAGAGGGAGAGATTACTTAGCACGTGACTAACGGTGAAATGGAGGGAAAAGGGTGGGAAGGGGGGGGGGGGCGGAGGCAGGAAAGGGGGGGGGGTGCTAAGAAAGACGATGTTTGACATAATGGTAGGAAAACATATCCGTATCAAAATTGACTGGAGTACATGGTTTCCACGACTTAGACCAATTTCTGTTTCCACTAATAGGTCTTAAGTCGAACTGGTTGTAAGTCAAATTAATAATTGTATACACTATTTATATTCAAGCGGGTTGTAAGCATATCTTCTTTTTCTTCTTCTTCTTCTTCTTCTTCTTCTTCTTCTTCTTCTTCTTCTTCTTCTTCTTCTTCTTCTTCTTCTTCTTCTTCTTCTTCTTCTTCTTCTTCTTCTTCTTCTTCTTCTTCTTCTTCTTCTTCTTCTTCTTCTTCTTCTTCTTCTTCTTCTTCTAGATTCAATGTACTTTGAAGACACGCCTCTGAACAAACAAACAAAAAAGAAAAGAAAAGAAAATTCACATTTTTACTGTAAAATCTAAAAGTTCACTCCACTAATTTACAGTGGTTCGAAAAGATCATGGGAATTGGCGGGTATTCAGCACCCTGGGCATCTATGGACTAATGAATATCATTATTTTTACGTCATGGATATTGTAAGTTTGCATGCAAAAATCATCGATAAAACAGGCTGTTTTCGAGAAAATTGCTCGCATGTGTGTTTATCTATTGTTGAACGAACTGTAAGTTTTATTCCAGGATTAACAGCAGAATGTTAAAAACGGTTCTCTGTACTTTCATTGGAGCAGATAAGTTTGTGAACTTACATTTAAACATGTGTGTGCATGTGCATACATTTGAATGTGTGTGTGTGTGTTTGTGTGTACATGTGCGTACATTTGAATGTGTGTGTGTGTGTGTGTGTACATGTGCGTAGATTTGAATGTGTGTGCGCACACACAAAAAAAGAGTCTGTACATTACTGATATTGTACTAATATGAGAAAGTCACAGTGGAGAATATATTACTTGTCCCATAAATGTGAAAATGACAGGTGATGTGATAACTGTTTCTCCTCATCATATCTATCACAGTACTGAGCCACTCGCCAAAGATAAAGGTACAGAAAGCAAACATAACTTTACGAGAATCAATCATTACAGTTATCACAAGTTATTGCAGATGCATACACATGTCGTAACTGGTCAACTGGATCGCAGCAGCGCTATTTGAAAGAACAGTGTCGCTTCGATGTGGTGAATGGGCATCCGAACCTCAACGCGTCCTAATGGGTCTGCCCCAGGGATCACCATTGTCGCCTGCGCTCTTCAATGTGTACACAGCAGGAGTCACGAGAGCACAAAGTGTAGGCCTAATCAGAACAATGTCGTATGCAGATGATATCCTTGTTTCCGTCGAGGAAAAACAGGCAGGAAATTACAACCACACTACAACACGAACTAGACAGACCTTATGAGTGGTGCCAGGAATGAAGAGCTCAGCTGAACCCGTCCAAAGCCTCCTTAACATGGTTCTCTCTGAATACCCACACCGTTAGTACACCAACGCCAGTCGTAAGCATCTGTGGTGTGGACATCGAGAGAACGGACACCATAAAATACCTGGGCATGAAATTTGACAGATGCTTGTCATACAAATTCCACGTAGACAACGTCATACTTAGAGCCAGGAAAGGTTTGACAGCACTCAAGGTGCTAGCAGCAGCTGATATTGAACAACGCCTACTTTTCCTTCTCTATCAAGGGCTTGGGCTTAGCGTCATTGACTATGGTCTTGGCCTCCTCACTGTCAACAAAACCCAGCTAGAAAGACTGGATCGAGTACAAAATGAGGCCATGAGACTCATACTCGGCTGCACAAAAGACACCTCCTGCAACGCAATGCGTTATGTCCTGGGTTCGCCGACGATGACTAGCAGATACAAAGTGGCACAGGTTAAGACTTACATGAGGGTATCGGCAGACGTTAACCACCCATTGCACAAAGCTATACTAGACACAAAAGGAACGCGTTTCAAAAGAGGCCGCTCTTGGATGGCAAAGGCTGAGGATTTAATCCAGCAGGTATGTGACCTAGACGTGATCAGTCACGGAAAAGAATGGACGAATACACCAGTAGACACGCATGGCATCTCTAAGGTTGTCATCACACTCGGAAGGTACTGCAGGGATCATATTCCTGCGGCCGTAGACACAGAAGTAAGGAACTGATAGATCAGCATTCAGACCCAGAAGATATCATCATCTACACAGATGGATCCGTAAAGCCCGGATCAAGGTCAGCATGAACATACACAGCGCAAAGAAGGGGGAAAACAATACATGAGGACAGCGGCGCTTACCAGACAACCACGTAAAGCATGACAATGGAAATAGCCGCTGCTTCTAGAGCTTTAGCAAACCGCCACACAGGCAGTAATTGTCTCAGACTCAATGAATATGCTTCAGAAGATAGCAACAGGCAGTATGCGCTCTGAATGGGTAGAAAGCATTCGGAAATCGCACTTTACCTCCGTAATCTGGATCTACACACCGGGTCATAAGGGCGTAAAGGGAAATGAGCGAGCGGACCAACTGGCAAACACTGCACTAATGATTGCGGGAAAAAGTATGTACAAAGCAGATATCGTCAACGCTGTATGGGCTAGTGGATAATCAGAAATCCCTGACACTGGCACGATTGCGTGACTTGGTAGTTAAGCATGGTGATGCACGTCTTTGCCGTCTTCGGGGCCGAGAAAGGAGACGATATAACCAGCTTCTCATGGGGACAAATAGTAGAAGTACTTTGGAGCGGCTGCTGCTTCGGAGAACTGACCACGCATGGGTATGCCTAATGTGCAGTGACATCAAGTGTGATAACAAAACATAAAATAACATCTTGTAGGGAGTCGGCAGTCCGAAACCCAAGTTCAAGGTGTCTCCTTCGTGCCAAACAACTGCATGGCAGTGTTGGGTGAACAGTCGTTAACGAAGGCAGGCAGGTCGTTGTAGGGACGACGCCTGCTGGTGGATGTAATGTCCTAAGTACCTTCCCCAGCTAATAATGAGGGTACTGCTGGGGTGAGCATTTATTAACCCTCATAAAATGATTCAGGTCAAAATGGATGCCAGGCACGGCCACTTTTTTTTTCTGCCAGACGGTGGCCGTTGCATTTTTGCTCCATTTGTAGACTGGAAGGATATAGTTTCGTCGCCCAGCTTCTGAGTTGAGTGCATCGCGTGACACTGTGAGTTACGTGTATTTTTCGTTGGCACAGGAGCGGAGCAACTATGGGGTGACCCGTTTGCTATAAAGCTGAAACTAGAATTACCAGATTACCATATTACCAGATTACATGTCGTGACTGTAACGGACTCTGAAAGCATGCTAAAAAGGGTGAAAAGAGAGGAGTGCTCCGAAAAGAGTGGCAAGCTTCACTTGCAAGGTCACGGGTAGTGAGCATACTTGGATCTTTTCTTCAGGTTATGTCGGCGTGGGGGGGGGGGGGGGGGGGGTGTGAACAGGCAGACAGACTGGCATTGATCTGCACTGATGGGTGGTGAATTTATACATGACAAGGCAGATGTGGACAGAACCCTTTGGGAACAAGTAACGAAGTCAGATGAGAAACTAGATTTTTAAGAGCGGGAGAGAATGAAGCACCTGGGTGTAACCACTACGCTCAGAGGAAATGCAAGACGGACATACAACAAGATTACGCCAGGCACCATTAGTATTGGAATTTTGCGTTGGCCGCTCAGGCTGGGGATGGAGAGCGTATGGGAATGCCTCGAGTGCTGTGATGTCAATTCTAAACTCATCTCAACACAACTCAAGTTATCACATCATCATCATCATCATCTTGTAGAACTAGGCACGCATACACACACACACACACACACACACACACACACACAAACGACAAAAAATTGCAGAAATGAAGCAGTGAGAATTATCATACCATCATCATCATCAATATCAAACATGTAGAAGCCAAAGGAAACTTAATGACACAATCTTTTTGCCAACCCTAGGCTATCAATTGCAGACCTGGACAATTGGGGCGGGGGGTAGAGAGAGTGGGAGAGAGAGAGATTGGGAGAGAGAGAGGGTGGGAGAGAGAGTGGGAGAGAGAGTGGGAGAGAGAGAGAGGGGGAGAGAGAGTGGGAGAGAGATTGGAAGAGAGATTGGGAGAGAGAGAGAGGGAGAGAGAGTGGGAGAGAGAGAGGGAGAGAGAGTGGGAGAGAGAGAGTGGTAGAGAAAGAGAGTGGGAGAGAGAGTGGGAGAGAGAGTGGGGAGAGAGAGAGGGAGAGAGAGAGTGGGAGAGAGTGGTAGAGAGAGAGAGGGAGAGAGTGGCAGAGAGAGAGAGTGGGAGAGAGAGTGGGAGAGAGAAAGAGAGGGGAGAGAGAGAGTGGGGTAGAGAGAGACAATAAAAATAAGATTCCTGCGAAGAACTCTCAATATAACAAGAAATGATAAGACCAGAAACGATGCCAGCCGAAGGAAAATATGGATAGCGGCGGCTCTGAATTATACTGGAAAACAACAAGTGAAATGGTTTGGCCGTGTAACGCCAATGCTAACCAACAATATACCACAGCAGGCAATGATGTACAGACCAGACGGGAAGAGAAGCAGAGGCCGATCATGCAAATATAGACAGAGTAAATAACAGAGTCCCTGAGATAATGATCATTATTATTTATCACATCAGTATCATCATCATCCTCACTATCATAATTATTACCATCATCATTATCATCTTCATTTTCATCGTTATTACCATCATCTTCATTATCATCTTCATTATCATCTTCATTATCATTATTACTACCATCATCATTATCAACTTCATTATCATCATTATTACCATCATCATTATAATCGTAATTACCATTTTCACTATCATCATTATTAGCATCCTCATTATCATCTTTATCACCATCACCATTATCATTATCATCTATTATCATCATTTTGTTCATCACTACCATCCTCATCCTCATCAACATTATCATCTTTATTATCACCATTATCATTTTCATTATGATCATTTTGGTCATCATTACAATTATCATCTTTATCAACATTATCATCAGCATCATTATCATCGGCACCATTATTATCAGGTCTTTATCTACCAATGCTCCAATAGTACAACTCACCAACGCTAATTGGAGGAAAACAGAAGAAAGCAGGTAATGAGAATCTTAGCATTTATCGCATCAGTATCATCACATCATTGTCTGCCAACGATCTAACAGAAGCACGCACCAAAGATAGGGTCACAAACAGAAGCACTCACCAAAGATAGGGTCACAAACAGAAGCACTCACCAAAGATACGGTCACAAACAGAAGCACTCACCAAAGATAGGGTCACAAACAGAAGCACTCACCAAAGATAGGGTCACAAACAGAAGCACTCACCAAAGATAGGGTCACAAACAGAAGAACTCACCAAAGATAAGGTCACAAACAGAAGCACTCACCAAAGATAGGGTCACAAACAGAAGCACTCACCAAAGATAGGGTCACAAACAGAAGCACTCACCAAAGATAGGGTCACAAACAGAAGCACTCACCAAAGATAAGGTCACAAACAGAAGTACTCACCAAAGATAAGGTCACAAACAGAAGCACTCACCAAAGATAGGGTCACAAACAGAAGCACTCACCAAAGATAAGGTCACAAACAGAAGCACTCGTAGACACCAAGATAAGGTCACAAACAGAAGCACTCACCAAAGATAAGGTCACAAACAGAAGCACTCACCAAAGGGGAAATAGGTCACAAACAGAAGCACTCACCAAAGATAAGGTCACAAACAGAAGCACTCACCAAAGATAAGGTCACAAACAGAAGCACTCACCAAAGATAAGGTAACAAACAGAAGCACTCACCAAAGATAGGGTCACAAACAGAAGCACTCACCAAAGATAAGGTCACAAACAGAAGTACTCACCAAAGATAAGGTCACAAACAGAAGCACTCACTAAAGATAGGGTCACAAACAGAAGCACTCACCAAAGATAAGGTCACAAACAGAAGCACTCACCAAAGATAAGGTCACAAACAGAAGCACTCACCAAAGATAAGGTCACAAACAGAAGCACTCACCAAAGATAAGGTCACAAACAGAAGCACTCACCAAAGATAAGGTCACAAACAGAAGCACTCACCAAAGATAAGGTCACAAACAGAAGCACTCACCAAAGATAAGGTCACAAACAGCAAGAAGAACGTAGTGAGGATCTCCACCCCCAGAGCCTCGTAGACTGTGATCTCCTTGCCGGGCAGGATGAAAACAGTGAGGTTGACGATAAACTCACAGTGAGTAGGAATGAATCATGAAACAGTGAGTAGACGACGAATCTGAGGATCAGCATGAAAACAGTGAGTAGCCGACGCTGAGGAAATAGATTGATGAAACGTGAGTGACGAATTGAGGAAATAGATTGATGAAACAGTGAATAGACGACGAATCTGGGGAAATAGATTGGTGAAACAGTGAGTAGGCGACGAATCTGAGGAAATAGATAGATTGATATCTGAAACATTGTGAGTAGGCGACGAATCTGAGGAAATAGATTGATGATCTGAGGAAATAGAGTGATGAAACAGTGAGTAGACGACGAATCTGAGGAAAATAGATTGATGAAACAGTGAGTAGACGACGAATCTGAGGAAATAGATTGATGAAACAGTGAGTAGACGACGAATCTGAGGAAATAGATTGATGAAACAGTGAGTAGACGACGAATCTGAGGAAATAGATTGATGAAACAGTGAGTAGACGACGAATCTGAGGAAATAGATTGATGAAACAGTGAGTAGACGACGAATCTGAGGAAATAGATTGATGAAACAGTGAGTCTGAGGAAATAGATTGATAAAACAGTGAGTAGACGACGAATCTGAGGAAATAGATTGATGAAACAGTGAGTAGACGACGAATCTGAGGAAATAGATTGATGAAACAGTGAGTAGACGACGAATCTGAGGAAATAGATTGATGAAACAGTGAGTAGACGACGAATCTGAGGAAATAGATTGATGAAACAGTGAGTAGACAACGAATCTGAGGAAATAGATTGATGAAACAGTGAGTAGACAACGAATCTGAGGAAATAGATTGATGAAACAGTGAGTAGACAACGAATCTGAGGAAATAGATTGATGAAACAGTGAGTAGACGACGAATCTGAGGAAATAGATTAATTAAACAGTGAATAGCAAGCCTGAGAAAATAGATTGATGAAACAATGAGTAGATAACGAATCTGAGGAAACAGATTGATCAAACAATGAGTAGATGACGAATCTGAGGAAAAAGATTGATGAAAACAGTGAGTAGGCGACGAATCTGAGGAAAAAGATTGATGAAACAGTGAGTAGGCGACAAATCTGAGGAAATAGATTGATGAAACAGTGAGTAGGCAACGAGCCTGAGGAAATAGATTGATGAAACTGTGAGTAGACAACAAGCCTGAGGAAATAGATTGATGAAACTGTGAGTAGACAACAAGCCTGAGGAAACTGATGGAACAGTAGGCAACGAGCCTGAGGAAATAGATTGATGAAACAGTGAGTAGACGACGAATCTGAGGAAATAGATTGATGAAATAGTGAGTAGACGATGAATCTGAGGAAATAGATTGATGAAACAGTGAGTAGACGATGAATCTGAGGAAATAGATTGATGAAACAGTGAGTAGACGACGAATATGAGGAAATAGATTGATGAAACAGTGAGTAGACGATGAATCTGAGGAAATAGATTGATGAAACAGTGAGTAGACAACGAATCTAAGGAAATAGACTGATGAAACAGTGAGTAGATGACGAATCTGAGAAAATAGATGGATTAAACAGTGAGTAGGCGACGAATCTGAAGAAATAGATTGATGAAACAGTGAGTAGGCGACGAATCTGAGGAAACAGATTGATGAAACGGTAAGTAGATGACAAATCTGAGGAAATAGATTGATAAAACATTGAGTGGGCGACGAATCTGTGAAAATAGATTGATGAAACAATGAGTAAATGACGAATCTAAAGAAACGGATAAATCAGTGAGTAGGCGACGAATCTGAGGAAATAGATTGATGAAACTGTGAGTAGACAACAAGCCTGAGGAAATAGATTGATGAAACAGTGAGTAGACAACAAGCCTGAGGAAATAAATTGATGAAACAGTGAGTAGGTGACGAATATGAGGAAATAGATTGATGAAACAATGAGTAGATAATGAATCTGAGGGAAAATATTGATAAAACAGTAAGTAGACGACAACCCTGAGGAAATAGATTAAAGAAACAGTGAGTAGACAGCGAGCCTGTTGAAACAGACTGAGGAAACTGTGAATAGATGACGAATCTGAGTAAAAAGTTGATGAAACAGTTTATAGACGACACATTTGTATGTAATACATTTAAAAAACAATGAGTAGATCATTAACTTGTCATCTGCAATTATTTCATATGCCTAAACCGACGTCATGCATTTAGTGGTGATTCCGATTACGAATATCCTTGCTGCCTCTCCATTTTCATCTGTTTGTATCTTTGAAGGATCTAAATATAATTCTTAAGACCTTGTTCTCAAATATGTGCAATAAAGCTTCGTCACTTTTAGTTTTACTTCAGGTCTCAGAGCCATGAAGGACGATTTGTTCATTTTATCAGGGCCTTAGATTTGTACAACTCTAAAGATTTAATCTGTAGGTACTACAAGAAGGGTAGAGCTAGGAAGCTGACACAATGCAAAATGTGCATTTATCATCATCAGGTGCCTTTCTGACTGGCGTGGGCGATCATGCCTCTCCACAATCTGCTATTTCGTGCAGCAGTTGTGTGCCGACACACCTCCATGCCATGCAACAAGACAGTCAAGAATCTTCTCTCCTTGTCTTCCTCTATCCCTCTTTCCACAGATCTTTCCAATGGTCACAACATGTTCCATTTTCCGTCTTCTCCGAACATGGCCGAAAAAGGATGACTGTCTCCTTCTGATGTCTGTGATAATTTGTCTTCGGGCTCCCGCCTCTTCACAACATTCGATGTGCATGAGATATTTAATTTCAGCAATATTTTGGCTCCTTCGCGTCTTTTCAGACTTTAGTGTTATAGTTGAGTTGAGTCAAGAATTGACATCACAGCACTCGGGGCATTCCCATGCATGTTCCGTCCGCATCTTCAGCAGAGTTCCAATACTGATGGTTATCGGTCACAATCTGGTTATATGTCCGTCTTGCCTTTCACTAAAGATACCCTGAACATCCCCTGAAACCATTTTTTGTCATTGTTGTTGTTGCGAATTACAACAACGAAGACGCTTAAAAATGAACACAGTACATTTAAAGGATAGTCTGAAGATCACACTAAATGCACCTAGCACTAATCCAGATAGCCCAGAAGTAGCTTAGAACGTTCATCTCTTTATCGTGGAAAGGTGGCACGTGAAAATATTGCGAACGAAATCTCACAATGGAAAGAACCCAAATTACGAGCCCGAATTTCCAATTTCACTCACTCACAACACGCACACACCACACACACACCACCCCCCCCCCCCCACACGCACGCGCACGCACACAAACCTATGGCGCCATTTATTTGGTTTTGTTAAAAGTACATACAAAATATATTACTGCACTGTAATAAGGAAGAGACAAACACTGTTCTTTAGCCACATAATGAGAAGAGAGACATTGGAGAACATCGTGACAACTGGAAAGATTAGTGGGAAAAGGGATAGAGGCAGACCAAGAGAGATAGATGATGCTAGATGGGCAGAAACAATGGCTTAGAGGGATATGATCAAGAGTGGTGTTCCAGGCAACCAGGGATTGTTATCTGTGAAGATGAGTGACAGTCTACGCCATTTAGCAGAGCACATGATGTTGATGTATTGTTCTTCTAGTAGAGCGCAGTTGTAATGTACACTTTAAAAAAAAGTTAATATACATAAATGTTAAGCTCGCGGAACAGACAGCGCAGTGTGACCAGCTGTAAGCAACACAATTAAAACCTGAGTGGGATACCATAGTTACGATTTTATTATGCCTGCCTAAAGCCCACACACCCAGCCGAACAGCTCAACCAAGCAGACGCATTTGGCGGGGATGTCATTGAATACACCATCAGACACTTATTCTTGTGTACGTGTCATAGGATACCTTTGTAAACAGATTTAACCTAAGAACATACACAAGCTAGGCTTTTGTGTAAACATAATGGCTACATTTGGATTTTAAGGCAATATGATAGTACGCGAGAAAAAAATGAGACAATGGTTAGTATGGCAAATGCGTATGTTTGGACACAAATTCGTAACATGTTTGCTTTTTTTCGTCTCAACAATAAACATTGTTAGTTGATAACTAGCTTGTTTATGAGACTGCGGATAAACAATTTTTAGCGACATTTACAGAAATGTGAAGGGTGTTCTTCGTCTTCTTCGTAGGAAGATGCTCAGTTCTAAGTCACAAACAGGACGGTGAGTCTAAGGTCGCTGTCCTTTCTGTACTATTTTGTCTTACAATGTTGCCCCCTAAAGCCAGATTCCCATTCTCTAGATGTGTGAGAATAATAAGAAAATGAGTAGGACTTTTACAATTTGCCTTCTGTTCAATTGGGAATATGGTCCGAAACAAATCCATGTCATTGAAAGTTAGAAAAACATTTACTGAATGCTACATTTATGCGAAGAGAGTTTGAGGTTTTTCACAATGGATCAACATCGTGGCACACTGGTAAAACCCATAAGTGCTCCGTTTTTCTTCTGAGTCAAGTCTGAGTCCGAAGAAGCTCAGCACAGTGCACATGCTATGTAGCACTGGCGAGGATCATGAAATACTTTGGGTAGATTTTCAACACCAAATTTTGCCAGGGCAGAGTCGTTAGGCCGCTCTTTTCGATTTCCAACTGCGACGTGATTTTGTTTTTACTTACGCAACAATGCACACGGGCGTCCGGTCTCACTACCCAGAGACCAAGGGGAATTACTAGAAGTCCAAGTCTATGTGAAAAAATCTCAGCCCTTACCGGGGATTGAAACCACAACCTCTAGCACTATAGGATGACATCATGCCTCGACACCACGCCGCCCTACCCCCTGTGAAGAGAGTGATATCATTCATTGCAAAAGGCAGCGCTCCGCTTCATTACATTTATGTCTGTCTCAGGATATGCCCGTGTGAGGCAAAATGAGGGCGGATGATTTTGCAGGCAAAGCCTCCTTAGGAAATGGAGGTTCTATGGACAAAATGGTCTTAATCAATGCTATAGGCGAGGCAGCACATGCTGAAGATCTCAAAAGTGATGATGATAATTTCTCTTTAACTGGTAATCTGGTAATCTTAGTTTCAGCTTCATAGCAAACGGGTCACCCCATAGTTGTTTATCACAAGTTTAAATGAAATCTGCAGCTTACAGTGTCACGCCATGCACTCAACTCAGAAGCTGGGCAACTTCTTTTCAATTCTCTCTAACTGGATTGTGAGGTCTAGTTATACCTATTAGAGCAGCGTGACGCGATAATCTTACAGTCGCTACATCAACAATCACAAAACAGGAGTCAGCATAAACACACCAAGAAACATACGTAGGAGAAGAACTGAGCACTTACGGGTATGCCTGACGTACAAAGAGGATGATCTTGAAATAAAGAATGAACAATCAACAATGAATGTATTTGTACAAATGGTCAGGAATCTTGAAAAACTGATGATGACTGTCCATCTTTCCAGACGATAGTGTTGTATTGTGCTTTGAGAAGGCATGGGACTCACAGCCCATGGCGATGGCGAGTGTGCCAAGCAAGACCCGTCCGCGTTAAAAAAAAAGGTTTTCTGTAATTATTGGATGTGATTTCAGGACTATTGTAAACATTCGTGTTTAGTCTGTTTCTTCGCAGGCACTCGGCTCTCATCATTTCTGCAGTCAATTCTTCCTTCATTCTCATTCCTTTCCTTATGTGCCCCCTCCACACAAGACGGTCTATGGCCGCACTCAGGTTGCTAAAAAGCCGCACTCAGGTTGCTAAAGAGCCACACTCAGGTGGCTAAAGAGCCACACTCATGTGGCTAAAGAGCTGCATGCGGCTGGCAAGTCGCAATTTGCTGACCAGTAGTATAATGAATAATATTGCTAATGATGAGATTATAGACGCAAAACACTCAGTTGGTGTGAGATAAGACAGAGATATATAGAAATAAAGAGTGAGAGAAAAGGACAAAGGAGGAAGAGAGAAACAGAAAACAGAGAGTGGTGATACCTTTCTCTGCCCCCACCCCTTTTTTTCCACCTCCCCCCCCCCCCCCAATTGCATTCTGAAATATTAATAACCAGTGACCCAGCCAACAATTATTGTGATAAGAATCTAATATGTAGCGAATCCCATAAAGCCAGTTTAACCCTACGACACAGTTATGTTAGATCATCCCGTGATTCTAAAGTGACCTGTCGTAGAAAGTGGGTGCGTTCAGTGAATTCACGAAGAACACCGACAGCCACAGTTACTCCTAATTGTACATCAACGTTCATTATAAACATCATGGCTATAGGCGTCGGAATATGGAAGACCTCTTAAGAACCTCCCGCCCCCACCCTCCCCCATGTTTCTCTTTTTTTTTTTTTGTCTCTCGGGGAGGAGTACTAGGCAGCCCCTCCCCCCCCCTTTTTTTTTTTTACATATATGGAGAAATTTTTTGAGCACTTCTAAACAAATTTCACATCATTTGAAATATATGATATTTATGTGTTAACCAGCAACTTATTATTATTATTATTACTGATTAGGTTTTACATTCTTTCCATGAATTTGTCAGTCGTTACTAAGTTAAGTCTATTTTTATAAGGCGTCCGAAAACATGGATAGTCTAAGTCTAATTTTTTTTTTTTATAATTATTATTATTAGAATTAGTAGTAGCAGCAGCAGTAGTAGTATTCCCTTTATTTAACTAAAGAGATAAACCTGAGTGTTTGCGGGTTGTAGGCGCCACTAAAGACTCGGTGGGGGTGTGGGATGGGGGAGCAGGACGAGCAGTTAACCATACCGGGTTCTATCTGTGTAAAGACTACGCTGGCATGTGGGATGGGGGAGCAAGACGAGCAGTTAACCAGACGACAACGGGTTCTATCAGTATAAAGACTACGCTGGCATGTGGGATGGGGGAGCAAGACAAGCAGTTAACCAGACGACAACGGGTACTATCAGTGTAAAGACTACGCTGGCTTTTTAGGAGCGAGACGGAGCTATTCAGTGCTGGTCCTGAACGCTGTCATGTCAAATCTTTACAAAGATGTGCCATAAACTAGAGTCCAGTGCTGTAGAATCCAACTCTTTCCCTATAAAACGTATAAGCTAGTCGAGTGGCAAGGGGAAATGGTTGGAAGAAAAAAAATGGGGGTGGGGGGTTTAACATCCCCTGCAATGTTTTCTTGGCTTCAGCACGGCTGTTTGCTACATAACACAGTAGCCTTCTTCTTCGCGTTCCCCGGTTGTAAACTCCGGGATAAAGTTTTGTCTGTTCATCCACTTCTAGACTTTGATTTTGTTCCAGAACGTGGGTTTTGCGTGCACATCCGTTTAACAGTCCTGGCTTATCTGTGTGCAGGCTGTTGGTTCCTCGCCTCTCAGGCAGATGCCTTCGGACTTTAAAAGAAATTACAGAAGTCAACAAGAAGCCGCTTACCTGATAATGGTGATCTGGCGAGTGACTAGAAACCCAATGGAGATGGCCGGGTTGACGTGGGCGCCACTGACATTACTTAGGGCTGAGATCAAAGCTGCCAAGAAGAAGCCTGTTCCTATAGCTCCCTGTAACATGGACCAGCTTGTTGAAGTTAAACAATATATTCAAATCTGTAGGCGTGGAAATGACATATCTGAGAAAGGCTACATGTGTCTTTTTCTTGTCCCCGTCATCCTCCTTCTTTTTCTTCTTCTTTCTTCTACTTCGCGTTCACCTTCTTCTCCTTATTCTAGTTTTTTTTTTTTTTCATCTTCTTCTTCTTTTTTATTCTTCTTCTTCTACTACTACTACTTCGTCACTGGCTGTGAATTCCGGCGGAAAGTCCTGGTTGTTCGGCTTTGTACCGGGACCTGAGTTGTGCAAGTACATCCGTTTTACTGGCTTACCGGTGTTGAGTTCTTGTTTCCTGCCTCTCGGACACATGTACACCGACTTCGAAGGAAGACGTCGCTCCTATCTCTAAGACGACTGTGGCCATTGTTTGGTGGGACTTGATGTTGCCTAATTTGTGTGGCATCCTCTTCGTCTCCTTACAGATGTTGCCGCCAGAGAACCCCTTTAGGACAACCGCGTGTAGACTGGACAAGGGCAGATCATGGGCATTTCCCGCCATCTAAGCAGGCTTCCATAAATGCAGAGCTGACACATGACGCTCTGGTTCTGGGCTCACTCAGAGAATCGACACGTCCTGTACATGACTGATTAGCTTCACAATCGTATGTTTGAGCTTTCCAGTCGTCACGGTGTGCGCACTCCAGAGATCAGCAGGAAGCAGCCCGCAGGTCCAGGGCCCTGATAACCCCACAAATAGGTACATTTTTCTTCATGACGTTAGACACCTGACTACAGGTGTGATCGGAAAAGATTAAATAATCGGAAGAATAATCTGTCTTTTTTTTTTTTTTCGTTTTCCCTGGCAATGGTCTTCATATAAGAAAGCTACAAGTCTCTATGATGTCTGTGATGCGTCGCACGCCTTCCACTGTTACATACAGCCTGGTTTCCATTGGAATGCAATCAGCCAAACGTGGGATCTCTCTACTGCGTGTAGAAAGTAAGAATGTAGTAGTACATGTTCAGTGTTCTGTGATGGCTGTTCACATGGACAAAGTTCTGAATCCCCGATCTTGAATTTCCTGAACATATGATTGAAGACTCTGCTGTATCAAGTACGCAGTCTAAATAAATTGTTCTGTTTTCTTCTTGTAGGGAGGGAGAAAGGATGAAGGGGGGCTACGTGGTCTCTAGGCATGGTGTCCGCCACGAGTGCTAGAGGTTCTGGGTTCAATCTCTAGTAAGGGCTGAGGTGATTTTTTACGTCGCCTTGGACTTCTAGTAATACTCCCTGGTCTCTGGGTTGTGAGATCGGTCTCCCGTGTGCATTGTTCGCACGTAAAAAAATCCCTTGGCAGATGGAAATCGAAAAGGTCGGCCTAAAGGCGCTGTCCGGAAAAATTTGGAGTTAAAAACCTATCCAAAGTATTTCAGGATCCTTGCCGGTGCTACAGAGCCTGTACACAGTGCTGAGCTTCTTCGGACTCTGACTTGGGTTAGAAGAAAGAACGGAGCACTCATGGGTTACTACCCGTGGGCCATGATGTTGATCCGTTGTTTAAACCTCAGACCTTTCGGGTAGGAAGGTTGACTGGGTCTTCAGGATTTTGTCCTGGATGGGAAGTGTTCAAATGGGTTCTAATGACTATCATAAATAAGGTCAAAAAAGAAAGGTCGACACAGAAACAATTCTAAATTACACACAAAGACAGCAAATTCAATGATTCGTTTGAGTAGAGTGAATGCTTTGTGAGGCCACAACATACAAGGCATTCACTAAAAGAGGAGAAGGTCTCAAAACACGAGGTAGACCAAGAACGACACGGAAAGATAGCATCAGGAAAACTTTACAATAGCACCATGTGTTTATGCTCGAGGCTGTCAGAAGAGCAGGTAGCAGAACCTTTTACCTCACTCGGCACCCAAATCGGTAAAAAAGGAAGTGAATAAGAAGAGAATAGAGGACCTTATATGTGGTGATGTTTTCAATAAAGAAAAACTTCAATGAGTACTGTCTATCAACTTACCTGTAATAACGATGGTCCTTCCTCTCCGTCCTTCTTCATCCCTATTCCAATCGTAAATATAGCCAACAAGGCGGTTCCAATTAACTCGGCCACCGCCCCTCGCCACATCCTAGGGCTCTTTATATCCAACAGCTCATTCGTTATCATCCGTGAAAAGGCAGTTTCATCTTCGTCCAGGGATGTTGTTGACCTGGCCTCCGCTCGAAGTCTCGCAGGGATGGAAGCAATGGACATCCTGATTCAGTTGTCTATCTGTTGCCCACAACTGATATTGTAGAGAAGCCTGCCAGAGTTTTCAGACTTGCAGCTTGTTATGTTTTGGATGTTCGCCTGTTGCCAGAATATCTTCACCGAACAAAGCGGACTCCAGCCACTGTTGTGTTTTGTTCGAAAAGGTGAAACTTTTGAACAACAACGAGAGCTGTCTTAATCTGCGAGTAGTAAGTTCACTCTAGGACTACGATGAATCTGCAAGCCACGTTTTAAACACTCGTTGGTTCTGATGTCACAAATACTGCGTCGTGGTGCGCTTGGTTCTAAAAAAAAACAGAAAGAAACAAAATAATGCTGAAAAAAATCCATTTAATGCGAGGTATTAAATTACAGGTGCGTATTCAGACAAGAGATGTGGCATGAAAAATGCATGCAGAATTGTTTGGTAGGTAGTCGCAGAAGTAAAGGGAAAGAACAGAGATATGAAAATACACCAGACAACCGAAAGTAATAGACTGAAGACTATGATCTGGACCAGTGGTTCCCAATTAGATCAGACCCGCAGACTCACTCAGATCTGCATGTTTGCCCTGACGGCATACACTTTGGGGGTATTTTTCTTTTTAGTAAGCCCACATTTTTTTTTTTTTTTAAATGGCAAATAAGCGGGATAAAGTTTTTTTTTTTTTTAATTACTGATTATTGTTCATTTTCAAAATCATCTTTAACATCGGTCATGACCTTTAATGCTCCAATCTCCTCATGAATATGTCTTCAAATGTTTTTAGATTAACACATCCCATTCTGTTCTTACTGATGTAAACAACAGGTGGTTTCCGCATGATTCTCCAGTTGGTACACCCAAGTATGCAGTCTATTCAGTTAAACATTATTTCCCACGGAACTGGAACCCTCACATCGATTATTCTCTCGTATGACTCAAGAAGACACACATTCTGTATTGGAACACAGTCTGTCTAAAACAGCGACAACCCATGCATGAATGAATGATTGGATTGATGGATGGACGGATGGATAGATGGATGGATAGATGGATGGATAGATGGATGGATGGATGGATGGATGGATGGATGGATGGATGGATGGATGGATGGATGGATGGATGGATGGGTGGATGGATGGATGGATGGATAGATGGATGGATAGATGGATAGATGGATGGATGGATAGATGGATGGATGGATGGATGGATAGATGGATGGATGGATAGATGGATAGATGGATGGATGGATGGATAGATGGATGGATGGATGGATAGATGGATGGATGGGGCGTTGTTTCTGAAAGATATCCTTTCGATTTCTCTGTTTGGGTAGCACTGTGAGAAAACTAAAGGAACATTTTCCACGCTTTTAGACGTGTAGGGCATATAGGGCTAGACCTATATTTTATAGACTAATCGGTAAAGATAAGTGATGTGGTCAGCATCACGCCGACTGCCTTTATTTCCCGGGACTGTATCCGGTATCCATTCAAGGCTGGGTTGACCTGGGAGCCAAGGTCATTTTTGAAAAATAAAAGTCCGGCTTCTCCAAGGAGCGAAACATGACTTTCCGATCCGCGGCGAGCGTCTAGTCCAACTGTCACGGCGACTTTCTTGGGTAGTACTGTAGCTGCCACATATTCTACGGACATTTTTTGTTGGACTGCCAGTACACTTCCGAGGATAAACTCAATCTATAGACTACAGACCGAAGAAAATGATTTACACCAGTAGTTCCCAAACTGTGCCCTCGGCGCCCCGGGGACCTGCGACCTCTTCATACGGCGCCGCAAAATATTCGAAGATATGCGAGTTTTATTTGTTTTGATATCTTAGATACGAATAGTCATTCTTTTACTTAGGTTACGGCACCGTGGACAAATTTTAATTGAAAAAAAGCGCCGCAACTAAGAAAAGTTGGGAAACATTGGGTCTAGACAACAAAAACTAGTAGATGGAATAGTGTGATTTAGAAAAGAGAAACTAGTAGACGGAAGAATAGAATCTAGACAACAGAAACTATTATTTTGAAGAACATGACATGCTACCAACTGACCTTGCAATGCCATTGTGGGAGATAGAAAACTGTCCGCACCGGGTACGACATAAGCTGTCAAAGCCAATGGGTGTGACAAATCTGTCCGCACCGGGTACCACGTGATCTTACAAAGCCAATGGGTGTAACAAATCTGTCCGCACCGGGTAGGACATAATCTTGCAAAGCCAATTGGTGTGACAAAAAACTGTCCGCACCGGGTTCCACATGATCTTGCAAAGCCAATGGATGGGATAGAAATCTGTCCGCGCAGGTTTCCAGCTGATCTTGCAATGATACTGGGGGTAACAGAACTCTCAGAACCGGTTACCACCTGACACTGCAATGCCACTGGGGGATTGGGGGGGGGGGGGGTAAACAGAAAACTATCCGCACCGGGTACCATCTGATCTTGCAATGCCACTAGAAATGACAAGAAAACTTCCGCACCGGGTGCCACCTGACCTTCCCACGCCACTGTCGTCACACACTATATCTTTGTCTGTACCAAAACTCGTCAGATTTAATCCAATATTTTATTTTACCACTGAAAAAAATCAGGCCCTAGGGCCATCCGCCCTAAATTACGGTTTAGTCTACCCATCCTGCTCTCTCGACACCTTTCAAGCGTGAAAAATAGTTCTAAGTTCTCCCAGGTGTGTTTGTTTTCCAGCGCCCACACAACGTTTTATCTTGTTCTAAATGTTATAAGCAGGGTTACATTTAAGGTAAAATAATTTGCCTATTTTTAAAATAGTATTCTCCTACATTATTTTTTTAAATATCCAGAAGCCATGAGTGTTAACCCTTTGGCTCGGTACTATGGATATCGCAACCCTTCGGCTTTGATTCCATGATAGGTACCGTAAATCTGGGAGAAATGTGGCTTTTCTGGTTACACCCGGAAGTGAACCCGGACCACAAGGAGTCAATCACCCGGTCACCGCGCAGTCCGGTTTAGCCAACTACGTTAGAGAGCCGGGCATTCTTTTTCCTAAATTAAACGTAATTCCCGTGTGAGTTCTAGGGCCACATTATTCCCTAGTAGAACTACAAGATATTCAGTGTAAAAATTCTCCAGTAAATCAACTAGATACTCAGTGTGAAAATTCCCTAGTAACACCACAAAATACTCAATGTAAAAATGCCTAAGTGAAACAACAAGATGCCCAATGTAAAAATCCACTAATAAAACAAGATACTCAATGAAAAAATTCCCCAGTAAAACTACAAGATACTCAATTAAAAAATCCCCTAATAATACATCACAATACTCAATGTAAAAAAAAACACGATACTAAATGTAAAAATTCCCTAGTAAAACAAGATAAGGAACGTAAAATTCTCTAGTAAAACAACAAGGTACTGAATGTAAAATTCCCTAGTAAAAAAAAAAAAAAAAAAAACACAAGATACTGAATGTAAAATTCCCTCTTAAAAAACAAGATACTAAATATAAAAGGCATTAGTTAAAAACAAAATACTGAATGTAAAAATTCCCTATTAAAACAACAAGATGCTTAATGTACCTAGTAAAAAAACCATGATACTGAATGTAAAAATGGCCTAGAAAAAGTCACTAAATGTAAAAGTCCCTAGTAAACCAACAAGATACTGAATGTATAAATTCCCCAGTAAAACAACAATAATCGAACAAATATCATGAGATTGGCTTAGAGAATCTAATAACTGGAAACAAAATGTTCAGTTACTCTTATTATTTTCTCACTATTATTATCCGTGGGGATCCGACGTTGAGTCGCGGCTAGTCGCTTACCTGCCCATCCGAAGGTCGTGGGTTCAGTTCCTGCGGACTTTGAATTACCTGATAAGTAAATGCGACTGGTGGGATGTTGGCCACATCATCCTTAGAGTGCCAATTGGCTTATAAAATATAGGTATAGCCCTATATGCCCAGTAGGCCTGAAGACCGGGTGAAGGGTTCTTGCTATTTTACTTACTAAACCGGGCGCTAACAAACACAGTTTGAAATGTAAACATGAAACATGAGATTGTTCTGAATAAACAAAGGTAAAAGGGCGCTACGCTTATAAGACGTTACATTTGTGTGTTGTTTTGTGTAGCTCATATAATTCTGCATCTGTTTCCTAACCCACTCCTTTTATGTTTTTGTGATTTATTATTTTCTTCTCGCTTTTTGTTTTGTCCATTAATGTTCTCATCTATTATCTCATATTTTGTAGTTCTAGCCCACTCTTCCAAATTCCCTTCTCTGTGCCAGAACAAAAGTAAAAACACCTTTCTCGTCTTTTTCCTTTATTAATTTTTATAAACACTCCCAGGTGCCATAACATATTACTGAGTATATTTTCTCATAGTATGGCCATAACAGATAACTGATTTTTTCTGATTTTCTAGATTAGGGGTACTGAACCTGTGGGTGGCAATCCCATGGGGATCGAATGACCCTTTCACATGGATCAACTAAGACCATCGGAAAACATATATTCACTAAATTTATGAAGTAGCAAAGAAAATAATGTTTCTTTCTTATTGGGGTCACCACAACATAAGAAACTGTCTCGGCATTAGGAAGGTTGACAAGCACTGTTCTAGATAATCATTCATCACTATCATTAGCCTCCCTAAACACTGCGTGTTGTTGGGTCATCTGTTGATGCTGCCTGTTTGATCAGCTTCCTCCACCTTTGATGGTCAGCTGGTTGTATGACAAGGTCTGTCCAGGCAGGATCTGTATCCAGGTCTTTTTTGGTCTGACTCTTCTCCTCTCTCCTTCTACTGAGCCCTGTAGTATTGCTTTCTGAGAGGCGTTTAGAACTATTACATGCCCTTCACCATCATCATGTAGTAGGTCCTTTGCAGAACGTCGCTCTCATCACGGTCTCTCGCCTGCTCTCCCGCCTCATGTGCTTTCATACTCAAGGAGTCACTTATATCCTGTGCCTGTCTTTATGTTGGTCGTCCCCTGCCCCTTCTTTCTGGTAAAATGCCTTCTGCTAT